ATGCTATCCGCATAACTGTTATGCGGTCGCATAATGCACCGCATAATAGTTATACGGTCGCATAGTTGACCGCATAGCTGCTTCCAGAATGGTCCTCTCCTGCTCACTTCTATGGCCATTATGCGGCCCGCAGAGTGATTATGTGGTCGCATAATGGACTGCATAAACACACTTTTCTGCCAAAAAATTTCCTTCACTTTCCTGTGCATTGTTCAACCCAAAAAGTTCGAGCCTTCTATAATCCTCAACACGTAAGCCTAGTCCGGCGCCATGAAACATTATTTTCTTTGCAAAGTTTACCGGGCTTTACACTTAAGTACTTCGAAATTTTTCGGGGTGTTACAGATTAATCCTTAGGAGAACCTCTTTCAATTGTCCTCCTAACTATGTCTAAACTTTAATTCAACTAGCCTCTTTCAATTACTAACAAGAACCAATGAATTCAACCAATAATATAATACAAAATATCACAAGTTATGCCTCTTTCGATTACATAAACAAGTGAATATATATGCAATAATAAAAACATCCAAAATACTTCAATACATAAAACTACAGTTAATATCCACAAACAATTCTCAAAACACCAAATTCATCAATCCCTAAGGAAGAATTACTCCATGGATATGGATAAATTCATCACAATTAAGTTTAAGTCAAAGAAAAACATAAAATATCCAAACCCTTGTCTTGAGTGGGGATGACTGGTGAAATCCTTGTGCTCTTACTTTTTCCTCTTCTCCTTAGCTTCCTTAGGTCTAAATTATGTCAAAAGTCCTCAAAATATCATTTTTCTAGGTATATATACTAAGTAGAGTCGGGCCAAAACAAATACACCTTCTCCTACACAAAAAATGACACTTTTCCGGAGTTAGACTTGCGCGGTAAATTGAATGACATGTAAAAGAATGTGAAATAAGTGGTAAATCCTTTTAATAGTAAATGTTTTGGGAGTATCGATTAGACATCGAGGAAGGGTAGGTCGAAATAACCTAATTCCGAAACTATACGTGCCGGTGTAGGAGTGATTGAGGGGTAAATCCCCGTGATATTGTGATGAGAATTGTTTCCCCTTATATGGGATGAGATTGATATGCTGAGATGTTTCCCCTTAGATGGGAAGAGATTATTTCTAGCAAGATTTGACGTAATGTCGATCCACACGGCATTGCGGTGAGACTGCTTAGCCGGTCAGGCTAAAGATCGGACGCCATGTCGTGCACATGGTGGTATTGTGAGTGTATGTCTCAGGGTGAGACGGCTTAGCATGTCGGGCTGAGATCGGACTCCGTACTAAAATACGGTGGTGTATCGGTGCTAAATATCTCCCAACTTAAATTACTGAAACTTACTTGAAATTCACTTTTCCCCAAATTTGACACTTCGATACCGGTTGAGTCTCTTATTGATTTCATGTGTTATTCTCCGTTTACTGTTACGCGTTCTATTGAGAGGGTGTTCAGTTTTACATACTAGTACTATTCCATATGTATTAAAGTCCTTTTTACCGGGGGCGCTGCATCTATAATGAATGCAGGTGGTTCCATAGCATGTGGTATTGATCAGTGATAGCAGCACACCCTCTCCTCAGCTGACTTGGTAAGCCCCACTTTATTTCGGGGCCCTGTATCTCTTATCCTTTGTACATAGCATTTTGAGGTATAGCCGGTTGCCTGTTGCCAGCATTGTCATAATGCTCTTTTGTTCCTGTTAGAGTCACCGTAAACATAGTGTGTGTTGTATCTATTTTTGGGAAGGTTAAACTAAAAATGTTGTAATCATATCATCTGTTTCACTTTAACTATGATTGTATAATATACTATTTTGGAGACTTGTTAATAACGTAACTAATGGAAATGAACTGGTGTTGTTCACATGACTTCTTACCGACTAATTAATGAAATGTATGCTTCTCTTTATTTATGGGTGAGTTGGGTAGACGGCACTGTGCAGGCTTACTCGACTAGGGAAACTCTGTTGAGCGTCGGTCGCGCTCCCCGAGGTCGGGGCGTGACACTACTCCACCGAGGTTAGTCTTGATATGATTATTGCCGCGTAGGCCTATTTCGCTTTTGTTTCGGTATTTATATTAAAGTATGTTTCAAATTGTCATTGTTAAATTGTCTTAGATTATTGTATGTATTCGGCTTACCTAGTCTTAGAGACTAGGTGCAATCACGACATCATACGGAAGAAAATTAGGGTCGTGACAATAGACCCATAAAAGAATCTCGCCTTTTAATAAATCAAAATAATAAATAATATACACAACTAGTATAAAATACACAACTAGTAATAATTATATAAATATTAAGAGTACATATAATGGAACAGAGAATTTATTTTATTAAGTCACTATAAAATACTTATCTCTAATTTGTCCGTTGAATACATATAAAATGTACTAGTACAAGAAGTCGGAATTAAATCATTCGTATAATCAAGATAAATTATATTTAATCTTGTGCAATAATAATTCTTGATGGTTTGTTCAACTTCATCCTTAGATTGTGAACTCAAACTTATAATTATAAGAACCGATGATTTAATTTTCCATGTATAAGCTAAACTCTTTACACTAAATCATCTTAGTATATAAGCAAATGACATAGGCTAATATATGATATATTCAATTCTTTTAAAGTTGAATAAAAAATTACTCCGTAATAAATACTATATACAAATTCATGGTTAAAGTGTATATCCAATATTATCCTGAGAAGAAGTTTAGGGAAAAAAGGATTTAAAAAATTATGTTCTTAAAAGTGACATAATAGTTGTGTTATTCACTTTGTAATGAACTAAAATGGAAATATTGTCATTCAAATTATTTTTATTTATAGAATTATGTTATTCCTTTTGAGACGGACTAATAAGAAAGAGTCTCATATAAAAAAGTATCAAATTTGCTCATCTATTATACGAAATTGAGCAACTATTAAACACTTAGCTAAATATTATCTATCCGTTGGGGAAGAAAATCACATCTTTTCTCTTGCCTTCTAATCAAGTTGCAACTTCAAGATAATCATAAGTCAAAGTTAAAAGCTGAGGGCTAAATTTGAATAACAATTTAGATTCGTGAAGTTCACTAATTTTAATTTATAATTAATGCCAAAAGAAAATACATGACTGATTTGCTAATAGAAAAAATATAAATGGACCAAAAGTATAATCGAGGACAAACTAAAATAATTTAAAATAGTATTTCGGCAAATTTGGATAAAGTTTAAAGAAGAGCTAAAAAATAAATAGTACGCAATAGGTTATAGTGATTGCGAAAGAGACATGAAAAGTATAATCTATCTACCCCCCTCTCTCTCTCTCTCTCTCTCTCTCTATATATATATATATATATATATATATATACACACACTATATTAAAAGTACGAAGGCCCTTAGCTAAATATCATTCGTCTTTTTTACCCTTTAGAAATAGATTTCACATTATACAAATTAGTTGTATGGGATAAAATATATTCATATTTTATAATCGCACGAGAAAGCGACACGTGGAACAGAAGGCAGAAGATAGCTAAACCCCGTAGAAAATAATACTGATAATGACAATATTACAGCATTAAGTGAATGATCCGTTACAGATAATATGACATTCACCGCCCACCATTACACAACCTTCAATGGCCCTCATAGTTATCATTAAAGAGGAGCTTAATCCTAGGACCTTGCTCCCTAGGTCCAGCTATAAATAGTGAGCTCTATATCATTGTAAAGGACACGAATTTTCTGACAAGCATACACTATATTCTATAAAAAAAACCTCAATTATATTTTATTTTCTTGCTTATTTGTATTGTTCTTATTGCTCCCGGTAGCTCTGCGCCCGGAATCACGATATCTACCGTCTATTTTAATTTTAAGGCTAAGTCTTTTATTTCTGCTTAATTCATCTATTATTTTTGGATCAAATTAATTCACTTGTCTATAAACCACGTATAAATTCAAATGTATTGTTTTACGAGTAAACAGTTTGGCACCCACCGCGGGGCCTAGACAGTTGTGTAATTGAATTGATCCCTTCATCTGTTACTAACTTGTTTGATTCTTTGTTCTTAGCAAAGATCATTAAAAATGACAGATAATGGTGTTAACAACACACACAACGTTGAGGCCCAAGGAAATCAGCCTCAGCAAGAGGATTAAATCAGTGATATCCGCAACGAGGGGAACGATGCCACAGTGGCCCACGGCGGCCGATATCCGCGACATGTTCAGGAGGAAACTCCTAATGATTCTGAAGAAGAGCACGTCGTCGAAGAAGTTAGGGTCTTGCAAGAGCAATAGGAGGCCATTATAGGCCATCTCACACGACATGATAAGGTCATGACGGAACTGAAGCAGGCGTTGTCAGACGATTCCGACAACACGAATGGGCGAGGCCTAGTTCTCCCCGGTGCTCCCGCGAACTAAGTGACAACACGAATGGGTGAGGTCGGCTCCGATGAGGCCGGGGGGGAACGGATCCAGTCACAACAACAAGAGTGATCCCTTTAAAATAACTCATGCGATTTATGAGGGAAGTAAATGCCCGAATGGATCAAATTTTGGGTGCACCACAAGTGCTGAAAGGGACGAACTCAAAGAAGCACACACAATTGCCGTACAAACCAAGCGCGACACCAGAACTGATCCCGAAGCGGTTTAAAATGCCCAACGTGCCGAAGTATGATGGGACTTCAGATCCTCAGGAGCATATCACCACCTTTACAATGACGGTGAAGGGAAACGATTTATTTACCCACGAGATTGAGTCCGTTTTACTGAAGAAATTCTGGGAGAATCTTACGATGGGAGCCCTGACGTGGTATTCGCTTTTGCTCGAGCATTCCATAGACTCCTTTGAAATGCTTGCAGATTCTTTCATTAAGGCACATGCTGTGGCTAGAAAAGTACAGGCCTAAAAGGCCGATATATTCAGGATTGCACAAGGAGAGTCCGAGTTACTGCGGGAGTTTGTAACCAGGTTCTAGAAGGAAAGGATGTTGCTACCACCTGTTCCGGATGAGTGGGCGGCTGAAGCATTCACCAAAGGCCTGAATTCGAGAAGTTCCAACGCTTCCCGGAAATTGAAAGAAAGTTTGCTCGAGTTCCAGGCAACAACTTGGGAGGATGTTCACAATCGGTATGAGTCAAAGATAAGGATTGAAGGTGATCAACTCGGTTTCTCGGCGTCGGTTAAGGGTCGAGACCGGGAGAAGAATAAAGAAAAATCGAAAGACGATTTTGATACAAATCGACGGTCTTTGAGGAGTTGGTTTTTGCCCTATAAATGGGCCGAAGGACGTGGCAAAGGTTTCCGGTCAGAAGATAAATTCGCTACCAATAGAAGAACCGATCGCGGCCGAAATAACAGGTCATTGCAGAACAAGGAAACGTTAGATTCTTCCTACCCGAGACTTTCCGAATACAACTTCAATGTCAGCTTAGTGGAGATGATATCGGCTATGAGGAACATTAAAGATGCACGGTTCCCGAAGCCAATAAGATCTGATCACGACCAGGGGATCCTAATTTATGGTGCGACTACCACGAGAGAAACGGTCACCGGACTTGGGACTGCCGGCATCTACGCGAATAGGTGGCGACATTGCTGAAAAACGACCATGTCAAAAAAGTTTTAAGCGACCAGGGTAAAAAAACTACCGTCGCTATCGTGATAATGCAGAGCCGTCAAAAGCAGGAGAAGATCCCCCACGCCTGACGATCAACATTATTTTCGAAGGGAACGAGATTAACGGGGTTACATTTTCAGCAGTGAAAAAGACGAAGGTATTAGTGACCCAGAACAAAAGACTCTGGGAAGTTGCTGAAGATGACATTACTTTTACAAAGGAAGACGCGGATGGACTGCTACTACCGCATAACAGCACCCTGGTAATCTCTCTAAATGTCTTAGATTTTAAAATTAAACGTGTTTTGGTGGATCCAGGATGTTCGGCCAATATTATCCAATGGAGAGTGTTGGAGCAAGACAAGCTCACTGGAAGTGTCATTCCGGCCACAAAACTCCTCGTCGGGCTCAATCTGGCAAGCGTGGCAACTCGGGGAGAGATCTTGCCGCCCATGAATGTTGAGCGGGTGATGAACACAACCCTTTTCGAGGTAGTGGATGGCGATATGGGTTATAATATCATCTTAGGGAGACCGTAGTTGCACGAAATGAAGGCAGTGCCATCAACATATCATTAGTTGCTGAAATTTCCAACTACAAAGGGAGTTAAACAAATAAGAGGTGATCAACCGGTAGCAAGGGAGAAGAATGCAATCTCAGTCTCCAGTAGGAAAGGGAAGGAGCATGTGACATAGCAATTACAGGCAAGATACTTACCTCAAAGAAGCTAAACCGATACTCTACAATGACCTTCTCGTGTGAAGCAATCCGTACAGCTCAAATCTAGCAAAAATAACTTAATATCATAAATAAAAACCATAGGAAACAATCCTGGATAATAAAGCATCGATCTTTAATGAAAACTAAAAAGTCAACCTCGGGCTCGCACCTCGAAACCTGACAAAATTCATAAAATTCGAACACCCATTTCGATACGAGTCCAACCATACCAAAATTATCTCATTCCGACATCAAATCGTCCTTCAAATCATCATTTTATATTTTTTGAATGTTTATACAAAAATTCTCATTTTCTCCCATTCAAATCACTAATTTAATGTTAAAAACAAAGATGGAATCATGAAATATAATTTATTCAGGATAAAGAACACTTACCCCAATCTAAACCGTGAATAAACCCTCCAAAATCACCCAAAACCGAGGTCTACAACTCAAGATATGATAAAAATGGCCAAACCCTCGAGATATAATGATGCTGCCCAGGGATTCCGCATCTCCGGACCAAAAATGCGCACCTACGCTCTTGCTTTTGCGAGCCAATACCCACACCTGCGGTTTTCACTTACCATACCAGAACGCGCACCTGCGCAAAACGGGTCGCACTTGCGACACCATAGGAGTGCCCAAACAACCGCAGAAGCGGCATCCTGCACATATGCGATCCTAAGCGGTAGAAGCAACCATCACACCTGCGCGCCTATATCCGCATAAGGGAAGCTCTCGCCCAGGCCTCAATGTCTGAAAAGCAACACAAAATACGTAGAAGCGGCCCCGCACCTGCTCTCCAAAATGCGCAGATGCGACGCACCAGAACTAGACTTTCCCAAAAATATGGAAACAATCTGAAACTCGTCTGAAATACTCCGGGGGCCCTCGAGACCCCGTCCGAACATACCAAACAAGTTCTATAACATAACGCGGATCTGCTCGAGGCCTAAAATCATATCAAACAACATCAAAACGATGAATCGCACATCAAATCGATCTTAATGAACTTATGAACTTTCAATTTCTACAACGCGCGCCGAATCATATCAAATCAATTCGGAATAACCTCAAATTTTGCATGCAAGTCCCAAATGACATAACAGAGCTATTCCAACTCTCATAATCGCAATCTGAGCCCGATATCCACAAAGTCAACTTTCGGTCAAACCGCTCAACCTTCCAAATTTTCAACTTTTCAATTTTTGCCAAAATGCATCAAATCAATCCACGGACCTCTAAATCCAAATCCGGGCATACGCCTAAGTCCAAAATCACCATACGAAGCTATTGGAGTAATCAAAACACCATTCCGGAGTGGTCTACACGTCAACTTTTACTACTTAAGCTTCTAAAGCAAGAATCATCCTTCTAAATCAATCCCGAATCATATGAAAATAGAACTCGACCACACACGTAAGTCATAATACATAAAACGAAGCTACTTGAGACCTTAATCCACCGAAAGGGACGCTAATTCTCAAAATGACCGGTCGGGTCGTTACATCTATATGCTTGATAAATTAGACAATAATGATAAATAATATATGTCGCTCCCTGTTTTCTCGCGAAAGTAGATTTCGACGGGTGACAACTCTTTTAAAAGAGATTAAAGATAGGAGTCGCCACCTAACGATTTTAAAGGTTCGTCATGGCACCTATTTATCAATAACTCCGGTTAAACTAGTCTGCGCAACTAAAGATCGAGTAAGGATTGCAATTACCTCGAAGAGAAAATGTTAGGCACTTTTCGAGGTCCACAATGGTAGTTTACGACCGAATTCTAAACTAAAGTGATTACTTATTACTTCTAAATATAGCTAGATGATTAAACACGCCAATTTATTATTAATTAGACTATGTAAGATAAATGTAAAAATAAAATAAGAAGAAAAAGGAAAGACAACATTTGGATAAAAAGTAGGTTCTAATATAATCCTCAGATAAATGAAATAGCAGATGCAATTTAGAAAGAAGAAATACAGGCTTTCGCTTAAGGAAACTCTACGAACATATACATTTACAAGACATAAGCTACAACATTATTAAGGGGTGAGTGACACAGTTACCCACAAAAATAAAATTATTTATCCTTATCTATCCATTTATTTTACTACCCATCAAACTAATTACATTTCCTACCCATAGTAGTGTTTGTGGGAAATTTTCTCTTTTTTCTTCAATTCTTTTTTATTTCTATGCTTCTTTTCTTTTTTCCTTTTTTTCTTTCTTTTCTCCTTTTCTTTTTTCTCGTTTTCTTCTTATTTTTTTCTTTTTTCTCTTTTTCTATTCATTTATTTTTGCCCAAATCGTATTTTTGTTATTTTTACCATAACTTATTTCACACTCAATTTTTGACTCCTGCTTTATTTCTTTTTCTTCTTATTTATTTTCTTTATTTCTTGTTCCTTTTCTAATTCTATTTAACTCCTTTTTTCTTTTATTTTCTTTATTTCTTGTTCCTTTTCTAATTTTATTTAACTTCTTTTTATATATTCTTTTTCTCTTCATAATCTAATTTTATTTAATATTTTCACCATTTTTTATTATTCTTTTTTTTATACAATAAGAAAAAATAACTAATATAGTAAATATTTGTTCACTTTTTTTTAATATAACTAGTATAATATACCTTTTGTCTTTTTTCTTATTTTTTAATTCAATTATTAAACTGAAATAATATCAGTTGTCACTTGATGTAATTCACTGAATATCACACTGACTGCTGTTGAGCACCATAAATTACATAATCAAATTCTAAAAATCAACACGTGATTGCCATGCAATCCTTGATCTCCTTCCCTACAAATATAAGTACACACTCTACTATTAGCAGTAACACAACTAATTATGGAGCAAGAAAATATAATCTACGGCCACCAAATCTTCATATATAATAGTTAGAATAGAAATGATAATAAAATATTAGAAAATGCAATAAAAGTATAAGTAGCAAAAAAGACTTCTAGTACCATATGATACCAATATGGTATACATATATACCAACAGAGTGTCACGACCCAAATCGATGGGCTGCGACGGGCACCCGGTACTTTACTCAACCGAGTACCAATATAACGTATCTTTCTTATTATATCATCATAGGTAAGTGGGCCAGAAGGGGGTCATGAGATAAACAGAGTAAACATGAGGGAATTACCCGACATAGAATGACCCAACCTGATATAAAAACCCATACACGTGACATACGGGCCTATAAGGCCAACATGACCATTTATAAACTCAAAACATAGGTCGATAAGGCCATACAAATACCCATATACATAACATCTGTCTACAAGCCTCTAAGAATACATAATTATCATAAAGGTCGGGACAAAGCCCCGCCATACCAATCAATACATGTCCTAATGATACTGACCAAATAGCAACTCCGGAGCAAATGGAGCGCACCAACATCTTCCGCTGAGCTGATAGCCTACTTGGAGGGCTCTCAACCTGTCTATCGGGACCTGCGAGCATGAAACGCAGTGTCCCCAGACAAAAAGAACATCAGTACAAATAATATACCGAGTATGTAAGGAATGAATATCAGTAAATAATAGACATTAGAAACATGGACTAAAAGACTCAACATGTAAGTCTGAATAACTCTGTGAATAAATAATATTTACAATGTCATGCATATGCGTACAAATATCATACCATGCATAGGTATATACGTACATAACATCATCAAGCCTTTGAGGGCATCTCATCATAACATCTCGGCCACTATGGATAAATCATCAATATATACCAGCTGATCAGGTGGTGGTGCGTATATAACGCCATAACCATTTTCCATATCCCATATACATATACACGCGTATATAAGGCCATTTTTTCATGGGTCAATATACATGAATGCAATGCATTATAAGTACGTCAATAAAATCTTTTGGAGTGTCATAAGACCATTATTCCTCTGATTAATATCATGAAATAGACTTTATCAAATTACGTATTTTCTGAGACCCATGAACAGATGATAGAATAATAAGACTTATGGAAAAACAAGAATATACACATCTCTAGCATTTCTACGAATAGAGTAATTTATGGAAGTTGTGCATTTGCTCGTTTCGTTTGTATCGTATAGATTATGTCAAAGAGAAAGAAAGGATAGCCTTAACATACCTGAGTCGATTCTCTTGACAATCCTCTAACACACGTTAATTGCGACAAAATACGGAACAACTTATATGAAAAGATTGAAGCAATAATGTTTCTTATGCAAAGACCATCTTGGCTGAAATTGTTTCTTAAGTAACTATGAAATGGGAAGCTCGAATGAAGCTCTTAGAAAATGACGTTTCTGATGTTATGGAAAGTTTTGTTGAAATTCTTTCATAAGATATTATAGTTGTTATCCTTAACTTTTTAGGTTGCCCCACATAATTAAGCTTGGTGTCACACTTCTTTCTCAAAGTGTGACACCTTGCAACCTTTTATATTTAGTCATTAAATGGAAGGGATGATTGTCACGTTGGGGGAGGGGTTAAATCTTATCCCACTCTTTAATTAATTATCCAATAATTAATCAATTATCCACATGATTATGAATTATCTCAAATTACATAAAATACTACTCACGTTTAATACACTTTATGTACCCTACTATCATGGTCATGGGGTACCTTGTATGGTACTAGTCCATAAATACTGGGTATTATAGCTTGGACCATATTTTATCCCAAAATGTCACACTTCGGTGAAACTCATTTTTTCGATTCGCTTACCCTTTTACCTTCACGAATTTACTTATCGCTTACTTGAAATAGCATGACACTAATAAACTCAAACTAATCTC